TTTTACCTTTGCCTCCTAAGTAGCTGACACTACAGGCATGTGCTACCATGACTGGCTTTTTGGTGTGCTTTAAAAAGTCTGATGTCCAGGCATTTCAGATGAATTAAATTAAGTTTCAGAACACTAATCTAACTATTCCTTATTAAGAGTTATAGCTCAGCAGGCTATTTGTTCAGCATGCATGAAGCTCTAGGTTCAATCTCCAGCACATTAAAACTAGGGACAATGATGAATGCCCATAATCTAAGCACTCTGGGAGGTAGAGACAGGAGAATCAGAAATTCAAGGTTATCTTTCACTACACAGGGAGTTAGAGGCCAAACTAGGATACATGAGACTCTTCTCTCCACCACCCCCCCAGCACGCGCACGCGCGCGCGCGCGCGCACACACACACACACACACACACACACACACACATATTAATAATTAAATAAAAATAAAACCATTTTCTGGCAGTGTTAGAAGTTGGGACTGTAAGAAAGAAATGTTCCATTAGACAGGTGAAATTAAAAGGTATATTGAGGTTAGTACTCCCCATCTTGAGAAGCTAGTTATTGCCAGGAGGAAAACAGGATCAAAATTCATTTCCTTCAGTATTAAACTTTCCCCTGTGTCCAAATGATTTAAAAGCCATAAAGAAACCTTAAAGGTTACTTGTCTTAATTTTACTTCATCTAACTCTAGAGGAAACTGGGGCCCAGAGGTGAACTGGTCAAGCTTGTGGTGAGTTTAATGACAGGAAAAGATTAGAATTTTCTCTAACTCTCAGTCAAAAGCCTCTTAATTGTCCTGTGCAGAACATGGCAGCATAGCCTAGAACATGGCAGCATAGCCTGGGTGAAAATCTGGCTCTACTACTTAACTCCGCCACACTAGACAAGTGATTTAATCCCACAAAAAATCTACTACCTGGCTAGTAGATATAATAATATTTACTCCATACACTTGTGAACTAAAGGAGAGGAGAGAAACAATCGTTATTGTATGCCTGGCACACAATAAGTATACAACATTAACTGTTCTTATTATGAAAGGACAACAGCATCCTGAGAGTAGAGCAGAAATCATTATTTGAGCTGAAGATGATCCTGCTCATTAACGCCCCAGGGATACTATAATATGCTTTCAAAGACTTCTCATGTAGATACAACTTGGGAGTCAAAACCAGCTTTTCCATTAGTTGTAGCCTAAAGGATGCCTCTGGACAGCCTCCTGAATGAAAGACCATGAAAAGGCTATTTTTGTTCAAGATGCAATACAGATCTGAGATCCTGTTGTTCCTTTCAATAATGACACTCATCATTACCACACATCACCACACAGTATCTTGTCCGGATGGCAGCAGGGCACATTCTTCCAGAAATCCTGAGATTTTAGCCTCAAAAAATATTCACATGTAAAGAAAGCTAAGTAGAAAAGACAGAAGACCATTATCAGTTTAGAAAAGGAAAGTAGATAAAAAGGCAAAGGACTGAGGAACTAAGAAGAAGAAAACGGAACATCTATTCTTCAATGAATCCTCTATATGTACAGTCCCTGGAAGCCATGATATCTATAATCAAGAAGCTGGAAAAAATGTGCTCTCCACTGAATAAACTTGGCAGATCCCAGGGAAGACAGACTCAGAACATTATTACAACTCTTTCCCCTCTCCTGGCCAGTCTTGTTCCTTCTTCTGTCCCCATAGTTGCTCAAGTTGCTTGTCAAATACCTAAGCTATGTGATGGGGATTATGAGGCAGGAGGATCACAAGGCCAGTTTGGGCTATAGCTCCAACAAGAGGATGGGGAAAATAAATTACTTTTGGGGGATGCATATGTATGTGTGTACATGAGTGTGTGTGTGTGGGGGGGGTGATCTACGTACCAGTGTATGTCCATATTAGCATGTATGGAGGCCAAAGGTCAACACTGGGAATTGTCTTTTATAATTCTTCACCTTATTTTTTGAGGCAGGGTTTGTCTCACTAAACCTAGAGCTCGCTGACTAGCTAGAACTGCTGGTTGCCAAGTAACAGGGATCCTTCTGTTTCTATCTCCCAGTGTTGGGGTTACAGGTCTATACTACCATACCCAGCTTTTTGTGGGTACAGAGATCCAAATTCAAGTAGGTCCTGATGCTTATGCAGAAAGCATTTCACCCACTGAGTCCATCTTTCAGCCCCACGTTACTATAGATTAGAGTGAAAGTGGCATGGTCATCCAAAAACACATTTCCTTCCTTTATTGTGAGGAGAAATGACTGTCATTCAGAGAACAAATATTTATGTGTGGTCTGAATTCCATTTGTTTTGTTAAATCTATGCATGAGAAAGAGACCCTCAGAGATTCTGTTAGCAAGGAGCTCACTTATGTTCCCCAAAACCCTGAGGTTTTCAAGTATAATAACCTCTTACTGTTTGTCCTGCAGAATTTTACATTTCTACAGCTTTAAAATGGCAACTGTTTCTCACCCTACCCCAGAGGCACTGATGAAATACAATATACTTGACAGTGGCTTAGAATTAAAGCATACTCCCCTCTAAATTTAAGTCAGTTTTCAAACCCAACCACAACTGAAAGCTAGCTTAGAATATGATCCTGGGTTTATTCAAAGCTTTTTGAATTTACAATGGGAAAATATCAACATTCCTAATCTTTACCAGACCAAACTATCAACAACCTTAAACTCAGCATATTACACACTCTGTTTTCTATCCACATTAAGGAAGAGAATGCAAAACTTTTAAAACTCCTTAGGAATTCTGATAGACTTTTGGTGGGTTGTTTGTTATATCCAGTGGAGTCACAGACAACGCCTTAGGATTTCACATAACAGAAATGTCTCAGTCCTCTAAACCACGGTACCACCATCTTTCTTCTTCACACGGCTATAGTTCAGTAAAAAACATTAACAGTGAAGTCAGCAACTTAACTGACAGCACATGAAATAACATGTAGATGCATACCCAAGGGTGTGTATGCAAGTGGAGTCTAGAAGTCAATGTTAGTTTGTTCCTCAACTATTCTCCACATTATTTTTTGAGACAGGATTAAAGCCCAGGGACCCTGCCATGTCTGCCTCCACTGAGCTGGGATTGCAGAGTCATGCCATTTTTCATTGGAGTTATGGGAAATCAAACTCAGATCTTCATGTTTGTAATATCAAGCACTTTACTGAGCCCTTCCCCAAACCTACAAGTTGCAACTTCTGTCTCAAAACACTAAGCCAGCAGCCCTCTATGTATTGCCCCTCCTCACTATGGCTTCATTATCTGCTACAGAAATATGAAGGAGAGGATACCTCTGGGACTGATGATGGGAGGATACCTCCACCTTAGAACAACAGAACAAAACAAAACAAAAAAGATTTATTTGCTACTATGTATTTGAGTATTTGATGTGTACACTGGGGACATGGTGAGCATGTGGAGGACGGAGAAGAACTGTGGAGCTGGTGCAGTCTTTATAACTTTATGTGGATACTGTGAATTGAATCAGGTCACTAGCTTAAGTACAGCAAGCAATTTTACCTACTCAGTCATCTCACCAGTCCTGAACCCTACATATCTAAACTGGCTAAACAAAGAGGGGAAAAAAAATTGTTTTGCATTCTTGAAATGCTGCTTATAAATGGTTATTGCCAAATCCATAAAGACTGCAGTTGTTCAATACTTGCACTTTTGTGTGATTATCCCAAAGGCATGAAAAGGACCCTCAGCTAAATACATCTCTCCTGTCCCACAACTCTTGGGACAAGAGTTCAGTAGGAATGATGGAGGGCTTCAACTACAGAGTGAAAATCTCCCCCACAAAGCTCAGCTTACTTGTAGTTGGGAAGATCCATTCCTGGCATACAGAAAATGTTTTCCCACACCCTTTATCCTCATTCGGCATTCTTCAAAAGCAGAATGAAATCAAGCAACAAGTCCTGGCCTGTTGTGACCTGCTGTAACCACTCTGACTCTACAAGTCAGAACTTAAATCTACAGTACCTTTACCAGCTCCTAGTCAGGACTACATTACCACAACATTATTTTCCCTTTATATTCAGTGAATGTGAACATGGTTAACCCTTTCTTCATTCTGCATTTTTAATCTCCCAAATATTTTTAAAAAGACCTAAGTTTAGGCCTTTTTTCCCAAATCTGCCCTTCTAGAATAACTTTGTCTTTTTATAGTCCTTTCTCAACAAAATAAATTAAAACGATGTTTCCTAAGTAGGATCTTAAACAATAGTTCTACCCCTTCTTAAGACATTGTAACAATGGGAAAAATACTGTATTGATGAGTCAAGACCTGGGCTATAGGATAGCTTTGACACAAACCTGTTACAGGACACAATGGTTTCACTTTTTGGTCTCAGCTTCTCCTTGTGAATAATGTATGAAAACAGAGATTAATGTTATTAGGTAGCTCCAACTAGTATAATTCTGTCTGCCCACAAAACTTTCTGCTATAACTTCATCTTTAAGGTGCCATACACCCACAGGATTTCCTTTAAAAAAAAAAAAAAAAAAAAAAAAACAAAAAAAAAAAAAAAAAAACAAAAAAAAAAACCCAAATAGCTTTATATTAACCTTGTACAATGTACTTTCAAAAATGTGGCCAGGCCCACTGAAGACCTATGTAGTTCCATCTATAAGGCATGGTTTAAGAGCTTACACAAAGTTGGGTTATATAAGATGCTACTACATTTTGACACGTGAAACAGTAATTTCATACATTAAGTCTACTATAATTAATGTTCCTACCAAATGTATCAAATGCTACTGACATCCTTATTTTACAAATAAGGGAATGGAAGTAAAGAAGTTAGGAACTTGCCAATATTCAGTTAGTACATAATGGAGTTGGGATTTAAAAATACGCAGCCAGGCTCTTAATCCTGTGGTTTTAGCCATAAATTACATTGCTTCTCAAAGTGGAAATAAAGAGAATTTGAAGACCAGGCATTCAGAACAAGGTAGTGTCTCAGGAAAAACAAGTGGCTAACACCGAAGCCTTTGATAGGCTGTACCTTTCACTTCAATGGTGGCATTTGCTTTAGGAGCGCTGACAAAGTGATATACACAGTGGTATTCGCCTGAATCCTCAGCTCTTGGCTTATTGATCCTGCAGAGATAAACAGAAAAGTGAAATGAGGTAACTGGAAATAGCCAAAATATATCAGAAGGCAATTCAAATGGGTAACAAGATAGGACCATACTTTCTAAATCCTGATCTTCATTAAAACTTACCTCTTCCTCATAAAAGCCTTCCTTTATTAATGCCTTCAAAATATTAATACCTTACTTCCATAGAAATGGAATGGGCTTCTGATCTTCATAACTTTATGATATTACAATTTATTGGGAGAAACAAACTACAAAACAAGCAATCAAAAGTGAAAGAGCTTTAAAAAAAAAAAAAAAAAAAGTGAAAAAGTGAAAGAGCTAGTTCCAGGACAGCCTCCAAACCCACAGAAAAACCCTGTCAAAAAAAAAAAAAAAAAGGGGGGGGGGGCTTCACCAAGCACAATTTATACTGAAACACAAAAGAACCATCAATAAAAATTTGCTCTCCAGACAGACAAAGGGGATAAGGTATTTCTGAAGCCTTTCTGAGCGGCTCTGAAGATCTGATTTAGTAGTTTGCCTTCCAGGAAGTCAACACCAAGCATAGTTTTCTTTTAAAAAGACAAACAACCAAACCTACCAAGAGGACACTTATCCACTGAGATCCAACTTTAAAAAAAAAAAAAAGTCATGCAATTTTCTAGCTCTGCTAGGCACTCTGCAGTGTTTTAATATGCTACACTTGTTTCCACCTCAAAATCTCCATATAATGTTCCTTTATTGCTCTTCCCATCATCACCTAACAAACTTAAGTGCTTTTCTGTGGGTCTGGGCTCACACTCACTTCCATCCCATCTAAATTCCTTCCTCCTCCTCCATTACTCTAAAATTTGGTTCTTCACACTTGCCAGAATGCATAATCATGTATTTATGATGTTGTTTGATTGATATCCACAACAGACAAAGTTTCTACGTAAGCAGACACTGTTTAACTGGCACACAATCCTATACTCACAGGGTATTCATATTGTAGTAAAGACATGAATAAATAAGTGAATAAATGAACAAAATCAGAGTAAACAACTGTATGTGGACTAGACCAAGTTAAGAAATTACTGAAAGAAGCATGAGTGGCCAGGATATTAGTCCCTTTCAAGTCTCACAGCTGATACCAACTTCACACAACCTCAATACGTGTGTGTGTGTGTGTGTGTGTGTGTGTGTGTGTGTGTGTGTGTGCGTGCGCGCGTGCGCACGCGCGCGTGAGGACACAGAGAGACAGATTAACTGCTGCTGCAAACAAAACTATCAATTGCCCCCAGATTAGAAAATGAATGCTAAGACAGGGCTAGACTCATATTCTTTGAACATAAAGGATAATTAAACCTCTAGTACAGAAATTTTGTTTGATAAAATTTTGTTTAATAAAAAACTCCTACTTATTGACCCAATGAATTTACCCATCTATTGTTCATTACAAAGAAAAGAAACACAAATTAAGAAACCACAGATAAGAACTGACTCAGCATATCTATGTCAGCACAATATTCTAAAAGGAGCAGTCAAGATTTCTCTCAACTTGACACAAATATCCTACTTATGCTCTCAAAAGGAAACCACAAACAAATCAGCTGTTTAGTATTCCATAGTTTCAGGATTAAGCAACAGCCATACAGGAATATTGGGGGAAATGGGGGAGTCCTGAGCAGTTTCATTTACAGCTCTGTGGCAACACAAAACCCAGGGAAAGATTATTGGATACCTGCTTCCTTGAAAGAACTATGGAGAAAATACCACTCAACAGCTCCAAACCAGTTGGTTAACACTTCCCAAACAATGAAAATTCAGTTGAGGCTAAATTCTCAATTAGCATCAGAAGAAACCACAGTGGAGACATTAAGTTGCCACTAAGTGTATGGTACAGGTGGGGAGGAAAGTATTCCAGACACAATTCAAAGTAGATGTGGATTCTAACATTGGTGCTGAAATAAATATACTGTAATATTGTACCTTAAAGGCAGCCACATCCTATGACTCTGAGCCTTAGTTTCCTCATCTGCAAAAACAGATGAGGACCTACATACTCTGAATTAAATAAGGAACATGAAAATCTAAGTGATATGAAATACTACAGATTGTCCTTGCTGCTAAGTCCACAGGCTTTCCTGGTCTCTCTTCAGTACTATTTCTTTATATTGTCTCATCCTGCCAAGTGAGATTAGCTGATCCTTTTCCAGATCTCTTTGCAAACAACCTTTTCAAAAAGATGAGTTGCCAAATGTTCTCAACACTCTAAAAGGAACCAAGTCACTGGGGTTTCAGGTAACTAAGACCAGCAATGTCATTTATTCTAGGCTACCAACCTCACCCCAGATCACTAAAGATCACTGTATTGTCTGGTCCTGATTAGGTTATGGTTACATTACTCCTAGAAGACAATACATTAGGACATCTATCCATAGGAATGAGCCCTTGCCACAAGAGTTGAGTTTCAACGCTCACTTAATTTGCTTCTCAAACTACTGAAGTCAAGAAGCCTATATTTTGTGACTGAACTATTAACTAATATTGACTCCTTGAGCAAATAATCCCCCATTGTTCTCAGTGTTTCTTAATTATCACTGTGAGAGAACCATCTATGGCTCTTTCAACATGACTGCCCATTAGAATCATTTAGGAATCTCTCACCTGTATTCCATGTTGCTGGCATTCTTACGAGTGGCAGTGAGTTCTACCCCATTCCTTGTCCAGTAGCTGTGCATAAGAGTATGAGAGCTGGAAGTGAGGTTACACTGCAGGGTAACAGGAAGGCTGTCTCGAATAATGACCTCTTCACTGGTGACAATTCTTGGCTCTGTAATTAGAGTACACAATGACAGAGTGCCATAGCTTTCCATTGTTTGCAGCCCTGGCCTGAGAGTTGGATGGGGTAGGATGGGAAGACTAGAAAAAGAGGGAAGGCAGACAGGACTACATTAGGACTTTCACTTTACCACTTTGGAGGAAGTTAAAAAAGGAAAAACAATGATCATAAGCAAATGACCACTAGCGCAGACAACAGCCTGAAGACCAGTTGGCCTAGACGTGAAAGAATGGGAGTATTACATGTGCTTGCACTGGCAACAATCCACTTACAGTTTTGAATAACACAATTTTATGAAGTAAGAACCACCAGCCAATTCAGCATCTATTAAAAAATGGAGCTCAACAAGCTTACAGTTCTGAATGCAAAGGCAGTGGTGTCATTTGTGTGACAGATTCCTTACGGAGCCACTAGCCTTGGAACAGCAACATATAATACATGTACGATTGTTCTCACACTGGAATGTTAACCTACAGCAAACCGACCATGGCCTTCATACAGAAAAGGTACTAGATTTAAAAGTAAACTTCCCATTGTAAGTCTCTTGCACTCTTTCAAATCCTGAGGAGGGTAACTTCTTAAAGAAACACTGGCTCTTTCTCCAGCCCATATTTATTCCCAAAACAAACTTTTCAGAATTGCATCTTAACACACACTCACTGCAAGACAACACAATTATACTAGAGTATAATATGTCTTGGCATGTGGGTTCCTAGAAACTTAGAACTACAAGAGCTTGGACTTTACTCCTCTATAGACTAGAACATGAAATGACTTGTACAAAAGCCATAATTACTAGCAGTGGCAAAAATATCCCTGTAACTGAGTTTTCTACTCCCAACACCTCCTAGCCACCAAATCCTTCACCTTAACACAAGGTGTTTTTATGGTTCTAGTCTGGGCTTGGACAACTTAAGATTTTGTCTATAAAAATGACCTACAATTAGTTAATAGAACCCATTAAGTAGTAAATTTATAAATCACATTGAATCATTTCTGGGAGATTTATCTTGAAAGAACTTTCAAATTTTCATATTATAATCAGGACTATGTTGCTTGTGTTTTATCTTTTCCCAGGTTTATTTTATTTATTCTACTTTGGATCAAATGTTTTCTTTCAGGTGAAGTCTCAACCAATCACCTTTCCCCAATCATATTAAGAGTTATTTATCCTCCCCATACCCCTTTCTCAAACACCCATGGCTGGTTTCCCACTTCCCTGTCTCTGGCTACTTCTACTATATATTTCCACATCTGCTTCCCTCATCATTTTATTAAGAATGGTTCTAAGTCTTGAGGATAGAACTGCCACTGTCTTCTGAAGGAGGGAAGAGGATGGAGAAGTCACAAGATACTTGGAAAATGTAAATGACTTCCTAACCCATGTAACATTTCTACTTATAATGTTAGTAGTATCTTTATAATCTTTTAATAAAGAAAATCTTGAAATTGCCTCAATTAACAAACTGATTCTAACTATTTCCAATTCTGACAAGAGGATAATAGTTATCTTCCAATCAGTACTGATCCTGATTAACACCAAACAAGGTCTCTATATACAAATAATGGAGGCATAGCAGCCACTAACACAAAAGCAGATGCATGTGAACACGTTAGCGCAGTGGTGTCCCATGGGTTTAAGACACACTGGACAGAAGCCAATTCCCTGGGCTTTAGAGAGTCGAGCAGAACAGCTGCAAACCCTGCAATGGAAGGCGCACATACACCATCAGCAGAAAGCATCACAATTCTAAGAAAAATTAAAACCAAGCAAAAACGGAAGAGAAAAAGATAGAACCAGTACTCCACAGAAGAGAAATTAAAAAATATTCAAAAGCAACATTAAACCCAAACACACTTTTTAAGTTTTCACTGAATTTTTTATTGTCCAATTTCATTTTCTGTCCCACTTGGGAATCTCCCAGTTCTTCCTCTCAGATTGCACTGAGAAAGGGTGAACTCTGAGAATGAGGCCAAGAGTTTCCAGATGTTTATACACAAGGAGGCAAAGTAAATGCTACTCTTACCTGTGACGATGCAAATGATCATTGCAGTTCAGGGAGATTAAGAAGGTGATGAAAGCAATCTGGTAGACTTTCTGCCAAAAAATCTTAGAAGGCAAAAGAAAGTACTTTTTCCCTTAAATGTTAAAGATCCAGGAGAGATTCAGCTGGGAGCAAGTTGATTAGCTTTAAATATGATTCTGTATCAGAGGAGGACTGTAGGTGGAGTGACTCCTATGGTTACTGAGTTCCTTGGCTGCAGTACTCCATTTGTATTCTACACCAGGATGAAGGTGAGACATTTATTTCTGTGGCCCAGTGCTACCCAGTGAAAAGTCCAAGAGAGATGAACATTTAGAAATTCAATCATTTTTTACCTATCACTGACTCCTATTTAGAAACATCAGGTAGGACCCATACCCTAGCCACCATGTATGTAAAGAACATATTATGGCAAAGAAAACCTAAAATATGGACCCATTTCTCTTCTGGTTTACATTATTCAAAGACCTTTGGAAAAGTACTGCTGGTATGTCAGTCTTAGAAGATTCCAACCTCCCTGTGGAGACAATGTTTCTAGGGAGACCTAAGATCACAAAACAATTAAAATTAAATTCAGGATGTTACAGCTAATTAGTATTAACAAACTGATATGGATAGCCAGGGAGAGACTAACTAGGAGGCTGTGCTCAAGTATATGTAGATACCCATGAGTTAATAAACTTATTTCTAAGTAAATTAGGAAGTCTATATGCTCTTAGGAAATGATGCATAGGTAACTACAAAGTCCTTTACACTCCTTAACCATAGTCTTTTTATCTATAAGTTAAAGTTCTTGGAAGTAAAACTACCAAACGCCCAGCCTATGACTATAAAACTTCTATAGACCTTTGTGGCCATTTGGATAATTCTGTTTTTTGTTTAAGGAAAGGAGCAAGGGGGCAGGAGAAGGAGGCGTGCAGGGTGGGAGGGGGGGTTGTTAAAGGAAAAAAAAAGAAGAAGAAAACTTGCTGGGTTAATATTCCCCATTTCCACATAAATAGGTTTTCTTTTCCCCTTCACAGAAGCAGGTTCTCTGATTCAGCAGTGCCAACCAACTGCAACAGCCTCTCCTGTCTCCCTTTCACACACCACCCCAGTTTTCAGAGTGGATACAAAACAGGCAATACTTGCTATTTTCCCATTATAAATGTGTGTGTGTGTGTGTGTGTGTGTGTGTGTGTGTGTGTGTGTGTGTGTGTACAGATACATATTTATTTTCAAGGCCCCTCTCCTATTGCTGTGTTATCATCAAATTGCTTGCCAAAAATAGTATATTTTACTACTTAAACTTCATTCCCTCTAAATCAGTCAGTTCACACTAAAAATGGCCACAGGTCTGTCACTGAGACATTCAAGATCATATAACAGTTAAGAGGCCTCTCCATAAATTGAGAATGCCCCTTAGTCATAAACAAGCCAAATGCAGGACTAAAACCCTTCCTGGTGAGAGCACTGATTTTGTGGTAGGCTCTCTGTTTTCTACCATTCAGGTTTCAGAAAAAGAACTGGCCACCCAAACCTAACTTGTACAACAAAGGACTCAAGAGGCTTGGGGTTGGGATTGAACTCTATCCCCCAACCCTTTTTAAAGATAAAACAGACATTGTGAATGGTTTCCTAACTATCTTGGGATTTATCATCCACTGGGATAAGGAACTCTGGCAAACATCAGAGTCAAGCTGTCTATGAATAGGCATCAAATGCAATTCTGACTTTTAACACAGTGTGATTGAGAGTTTTGTTTTTCGAAGATTTTTTGTTTTGTTTTGTTTGTTTATTGAGACAAGGTTTCTCTGTGTAGCTTTGGAACCTATCCTGGCACTCAAGGCTAGCCTTGAACTCCCAGAAATCTGCCTGCCTCTGCCTCTTGAGTACCACTGAGTACTGTGATCAAAGGCATGTACCACTGCACTCAGCCTTGGGGGATTAAAGGCATGAGCCACTACCTCCCAGCATGTGATAGAATTTTAAAATCAATGTAATTTGCAGCTTCAGACCACCTAGCTCCTGACAGCAAGACTAAGGGAGAGACTCTCAGAAAGCTACTTTTAAGAAAAAAGACTCAATAAGAACTGTGCTGTTGCATTGGAGGGCTGCTGTCAGAGAAGCACATGCCACTGCTTTAGAAAAGAAAAAGAACTGGAGCTATGGAATATCTAAGCTTACATGCCACCCAACAAAACACACCACCACACTGCACCATGGCAACATTCCCATCAACAGAACAGGATAACACCAAGTCACAGTGAGGGAAAAGGCTGGGCAGACACAAACTTAAAACCATAGAGGTGAAGGCAGCTAGCTATTCAGAGAACTTCCAACAGATGAACAGGGGAAATAAAAAGTAGTTAGAGTGGAGAGAGAAACAAAAATAGAAAGGCACCAGAGAAGCAATCAGCAAAAGGATAGCAGGAAACCTACTACAAAATTAAAGAGGAGGGAAAGAAACAGTTTCAATACTACCCTCATTCGACTGCCTGGCATTTGTGCTTTTAAAATATTTGTAAGTTCCCCAGCTCTCCCTCCCCACCTCTTCCCAGCGCAGCTGACTTTGGACAGTCATGGATTTCAAGTTCTTTGTTCCTGAGGAGAAAGACACAGAGAAGGGTTGGGGATAAGGGAAGTAAAAAGGACAGCAAATTAAAAAAAAAATTGCCACAAATGTTTTCATACACTACAACCAGAAGGGTCATGGATTTGAAAAAACAAAGACAAGGAGTGGGGTAAGCGATCATACTGGGGTAGAGGGAAAGGCAGCAGAAGGGAAGGATCATTGGGCCACCTCTAAAGACTACAGTACTACTACTGTAGGGTGCTGGACTCACTCTGAAGGACGCTTATGGTGGCCTGGGCTCGAATCCATGTTATGGAAGGGTTTTGCCTCAAGTCATTCCTCTTGGGGTCGTTGCTGGCCCTGCACTCGTAAGTCCCAGAGTCCTCCAAGGTGAGCCGGGTTATTCTCAGCACACTCACGCCGTTTGACCCGTAGGCGGTGTTTACGGTGACACGGCGCTTCCGAGCACCGTCCCACAGCTGTCTGAAAGACTCTGCCCGGTTGACTTCTGCGTACCACCACTGGATCTCTGGCGTGGGGCTCCCGACCACGTCACAGTACAGCTCAAAGGCGTCCCCCGTGAGCTTAGTTTCTGACATGGGCGACTTGACAAACCCAGCTAGAGGGAGGGGGAGCAGGAATGCAGTGACAGGCCAACCAGAAAAAAAAAACAAAAGAATCAACAGGTGTTAATACTTTAAAGGAAAGAAAAGAAAAGAAAAAAAGCAAATGAGTTGCAGAGAACAAAAAAAAGGATTCATTTTTAAACTATAAAGAGACAGTAATAGCAATTCATACAAGCTTTTAGAAGAAGAACCACCCTGGGAAGCTTATGAAGCAAAGGCAGGCCAATTACAAGCTGGGGCAGCCCAGGTGCTGGCCAGGCAGAAGCAAGCCCACTGGAAAAGCATTTTAGCAATGGGCCCAGCTGGTAGGAATGAGAAAGCCTTAGGTCTGGGGAAGAGCATCCTTCCATAGAGCACAAAACCATTACCTTTCCAAACTCAGGCAAATGATGGAAGATAACAGGAAATGGTAATGGGTTTTTATGCCAAGTCAGGATCATTTTTGAATGGGTAAACATTTCATTAGAGATGCTGTATCTTTCCTAAGCCTCAACAAGAAGTATTAACTAATGTACTGGTATCTTCTCTTATTATTCAGAGTCCAAATTTTAGCTGAAGGTCTGCAAAATTCTCACATTCAGGATACTATCCTTACCTTACTTAGTCTTTTCCCATCACTTAATCTTCCCTGGGCCCCTGGGAAACAAACAGCCAAGCTGTCTATCACCTATCTGAATACAGACCCTCAGGAAGAGAAAAATAAGGCATAGTGAACACAGTGACCAAAACTAATAGCAACCCTACGAAGGGTATTTATCTGGCTGCTAGCAGTCAATTCAAAAAGGAGGAAAACTAACACTGATGAATTAAACTGTAGGGTGAAGGTTATACCTCAACTTGCATCCAAGGCACTGCTCAGAACTAAAGTTAATGCCTACATCTACCTGCCTATAACTTATTGTCTATCAGGCAAGGTAGTAATGGCAGAAAGAGTTTCGTTTTGTTGGGGAGGGAGTTGTTTTGTTTGTTTTTTAAATCAATATCATCACTCAGGCTTCTTTTAACACCTGGAGTAAAAAAGCCTATAGTGAGAAAGACACCATGGTGCAATCATCCGCTTACTCATTCACTCCTCAGGTTTGTTCGAATTTCTACCAATCAGGAAACGCCCTGAAGTGTAAGTCAAGAATTTAGAGGAGGGCATTCTGAGTGGTTTGGCTCATGAGCTAAGCATGTTCACCTGCAATGAACAGATTACCAAGTCAGAATCTGACAGTATTAGACTTAAGAACACTCCAGAGAACAGGGAGAACAAAAATGAAAGTTTCTCTATAGTCTAGAAGCCAAGGATGTAATCAGCTAACTAAAACTGGAAGTTAGTAAGTAGAAATATTCCTGTTTATAACCGTAGTAAGACTTCATACCAAGGAGGAAAATAATGTTAATCTAATTTAGTTCAAATGCCTATCTATAGGTCAGGCTTAAATCAGGCTTGGTGATGCATGCCCTTAATTTCAACACTCAGAAGGCAGACACAGGCAGAACTCTCAGTTCGATGGCAACATGGTTTACAGACCGAATTCCAGGATAGCCAAGGCTACACAGAGAAACCCGTCTCAGAAAAAAAAAAAAAAAGCCTTCTGAGTATCCCTCTATCTTCTGCATTAGCCAGAAAACTCTATGGTCCACCCTACTTACAGTCTTGGAACAACAACACAAAAATATCTCCCACAACAAGGGATATCCTTCTATATTCTAAAGCCACTACCACCATAATTTATTGTTAAGACATTAATAAGCAATATATTCTTTCCTTAATATTTTCTTAATTCTTTGAAAATTTCATTTTAATTGTATTTAACCTATCCTCACTGTATTTCCTAAATCTCCAGATCCATCCCTACACCTCTTTATTTTATACAATTTTCACTTTATGACCACTGGTGTTTTGCCTGAATGTATGTCTGTGTGAGAGTATCAGAAACCCTGGAACTGGAGTTATAGACAGTGTCAACTGCCATGTGGGTGCTGGGAACTGAACCGGGGTCACCTGGAAAAACCACCAGCGTTCTCAACTGCTGAGCCATCTCTCCAGCATCCACCCACCCTGCCCCACCCCCACCTCTTTTTTAATGCCCCACTGAGTCCACTTTGAGCTGCCTATGAATGTGGGGCCATCTACTGGAATGTGATCCAGCTAACAAGGGGCCACACTCTTAAAACAAACAAACAAACAAAAAAAAAAAAAAACCAAGGAGTTTTCTCTCCTCCAGAAGCCATTAACTTTCAATAATTCCTTCCTCAGGGATGGAGGCTTATGAGCTCCTCCCTGATCCAAGGCAACATTTTCTAAGTATGTGTTATATAGCAGGCACTCTATCTACATTATTCCCAATGCTGTCGTTTGTTTGTTTGTTTGTTTGTTTGTTTTGGAGACAGGGTTTCTCTGTGTAATCCTGACTGTCCTGATACTCACTCTGTAGACTCTTGAGTGCTGGTATTAAAGTCATGCACCACCACACCCAAATTTCCTACTTTATAAGGTAGGTATTGTTGAAACCCTTAAAAACTGAACTATAGTCCAAAAAGAGTTAAATGTTATAAGCTGTGGGTATAGCTCAGTGTTAAGAGTGCTTACCTAATATACACAAGCCCTTGCTTGAGTTTGAATCCCTTGCACTGAAGAGTAGGGGAAGGATATTTTGCCCATCATCATGAGAGTCTAACATAGAACCCAGAATTGTCCAAAGCCAAAGCATGGTCTCTTAATACTGTCCATAACTGCAGTCAATGTGTCTTACAAGGTTAGACAAGTTTCCATAGTCATTTAAAAGTAAATTTATCATTTAATTTAGTAAATTAATTGGCTAATTCTTGTACACGAAACAGTAGGCATCCTCCACTAAAATAACTTAACCAAGATCACTTTAGTGGCTAAGCCAGAGTATACCTGGGACTAAAGTGTCTATAATTCTTATTCTGAGGCTTTTCCCAGCAATTGTATTATAAGAAACCATTCCTTGATAGCAAAACACTTATCCAAAAAAGCATGTAAATATTTCCCCTCCAAACAGAGGGAAAGAACGAACTTCTCTATAGAGCACTGGGAAATAAATCACAATTAGGAAGGAAAGGTTATTAGCAATCATCCACCTCATTATCTACCCAAAATTAGCTCCAGCTTTCAGAAGGCACTCAGAACCTGACTCACTGCCTGCCTTATCACCGTTTTCAAACAAACTGTGCCCTCCACATGAAAGTACACAACTGCCTGAAGTTAGGGACCACCTTCAGAAAAGTTATCTGAACAATGACACAGGATTTTTAGGGAGGAAGGGAATAGAAACTGGTGTTAAGGTGGGGTAAAAATGAAGGCAGCAAAATCCAGAAAAGTGTAATGAAAAAATTGCACAGCTGAGGTTGGGGGATGGGAAGTGGGGATGACAACTGGGGCTAGCAGCAGGGAAGAGGAACTCTCCAGCTCAGGAAAAACTGAATGTGTAGATATGTACACAGTGAAAAGAGAAAAGGAACGCAGAAAAGCCAAGCTAAACCCAATCTCAAGAAAACTATCCCACATACACCTTAAGAAAGAGAAAGAAATTTTTACAACCAAATCTCACTTTTCTTCAAGGCAACCACAGTATAAGTAACATGGGGGGAGGGGAGAAGAGGGAGAGAGACACTGATTCCTGTGGATGGCTCATGCTGTTCTCTTTCATATCTCAAAATAAAAAATAATGATGGCAAATGAAAGAAACTGTATCTGTTCTCTCCCTCACACATACCCAAACTCAAATCACCTACCTCAAAAATACTGAGCAAGACCTACTTACAGTTCAATGTACTTCAAATCTGCATGGAATTGCTGTAAAAATGGGATTGAAGCCTACATAGCTTGCCTATCTTTACTGTTAATTAAGCACACCAAGTATCACTACCAATTAACACCAAATTGATCAAAAGTCCACAGGCACTCATTCCACATATACCAACCAAGGGTAAGGCAGGCAGTCCTGAAGACCTCAAAGTACTAGAAACAGGACAACCTCATTCTCTGCAACAGAAGCTGTTGGGGAAGGCAGGAGTGCTGGTGAACTCTTGGATTATCACAGCACTAGGTAGAGATGGCAGCCATCACAAAGCATTTTCCATATTCAAGTCTGTGCCTTTCAATCAAGCAAACATGTCAGAAGTGTGGGTATTAAGATCATTACAAGCCAAAGCCTACCTTTAATTCTAAAAGTATACCATCCAAAATAGCAGATTTTGGTTAGCCTAAATTAAATATATTTTCTACTTTGGAAAAATAGGGAAATCTCATTGATGTCAAAAAATAAAAAGTCTGCATAGTTTAATGATTAAATTTAACAAACAATAAAATCAGAATGCATGGGTTCACATGAGGTCCTGTTACTGTCTAACCTTAGGCAAGTGGCCTAACCTCTCTGAGCTTCATCTGCTTAATCTGTAAAAAGGAGCTAATAATAGCAATTTCCTTAGAGGGTTATTGTAAGGATTAAATAAAATGACACAGCTTACAACAGCACATGGCACATACTGAGCACTCAAATAGTGTTATCTATTACTGTATGTCTCCAAAGAAATAAATGCTGGACAAAACAGCCCTACAGACTACAGCTAGGATATCTGAATCTTCTTCGAATCCCCCAAGACAGCGCCCCTTACCAGCAGGAAGTAGTTTGGAAAGAACGACGCCCAAATTCCCAAATATTGTGTATAAATGTTTGTTTTCATTTAATTAGACTTTGTTATATAAAATTAAATAAAAAATACTCTATATGCATAAAAAAAAAAAAAAAAGAAATAAATGCTGAACAGACCACATATAGCAACCTTCCCCATTGCTTTACAACAGCCTGGGAAACAGAACTTCACACACATAGTAATTTAATTTGGAATCAAACTTTAAAAAAAAAATTAACTGTAACTTTTCAGATAAAATGAGATCACTGTAGAAATGTTAAAAGGGCAATCAATGTAAACTAAGGGAATTCTTCAATCCTTCCCATTCTTAGAGCAACCTAGACTT